TGAGACTCCAACTACAAAAATATATATATATATATATATATATATATATCATTCCATTAAAGTCATGTAGCAAAGATATGCACCCCTCAAAATGAAGCTGTAAATCATATTTATCTAGTTACCATTATGGATACAGTGGAATAAAATGGCAAATAGTTGAAGAAATAAAGGTGGGACACCAGAAACAACTTCCCAATAAAACAGATTATAGAACAGCCTTCTATGAAAAACTTTTTGAAGAGGATTCAATAAACGGTCATCGGTCTGGGTAGAGGACAGGACCCTTTAATGACTTGAAAACCATTTGCAATTCAGATCAACAAGCAAAATCACCCACCAATGCAGTACATAAGCACCTTCTGCCACTGAACCCTTACGCACTACAGATTTCATTCCAAAGCCCTCTGTCCACTGAGACCTTATCATCACTGTACTGAAAGCCAATGAGAATGCAGATAGCAGACTAGATCTGGGTCAGGAATTATGTTTTATTGCAGGCAAGGAACTGCACAAATCTCAAAGGGCACCAGAAACAGGTACCTCTTTCTTACCTTGACCATGAACGTGAAGTCTGTTAGGGCTGGGGAGTAGACGGCCCCACCAGCACACGGGCCCATGATCAGAGAAATCTGAGGGACGACTCCGGATGCTGTGACATTCCTCTGCCAAAAGAGAAAGGCAGAGGCATCTGGTTACAGAGGTGTTCACAGCATTATCTGCAGAAAGCTAAAGGCAACAATAAAATAACAGTTGGGTTTTTTTCCCATAGAAATTCTATCCAGGAGGCAAGAGACCTAGTCGGTTAAGTTATTCCAGAATTACATGCGCAATTTCTCCCCGTAACTGTTGGGATGGTCAGCATTTTTACTTTCCGGGCCACACGTTTTCTCTCCTCTCCTCTCCTTGGCAGCAGTTCCCCAAGACCACCTCCAGGGCCTGAGCCACAGAGCGAGACCCACCACCCTCCCCTCAGCCCCAAACACACCTCAGGCCCGGCCCTGTCCGCACAGAGCTGGCTGCAGCACGAAAGCTTCAGGCGGAGTGCACAGAGCCCTGACCTCTGCAGCCCTGACCTCCACGTCCAGCCTCTGCATGCCCTCCACAGAATGCACGCAGCAGTCACACAGGAAGGCAGAGGGGCAGGTGCTGCTTTACACTGGCAGGATATCTGTCCATCCCGACAGGGCATGGAGGGGAGAGAGGCAGGAAGAGCCAGGAAGACTCCCCAAGGACAGCAGCGTCGAGGGGCTAAGCCTCAGGCTGCCTCCCAGGAAGGACAGGATCTGGGGCTCAAGGGTGAGGTGAGATGACAACGGCCCCATCATTCTTTGCTCCACTCCCAACTCCTTTTCTTCTCCTGAGCTGCCCATCAGCTCAGGTAAAGTAGGTCCAAGTTGCAGCCTGCCTTGGCTCTGAGCCCATTTCTGTCATCTATAGAAATGCTAAGCAGAGCACAAAAAGGCCTCTTGGCCCTGCAAAATGTCAAGGGCGGTGGGCAGACTTCCAGCGGTAGCAGAGTGAGGAATTCGGAAAATTCTCTCCCCAAAAGGCAACTATGAAAAACAACTAAAAATTCAGGCACTATCAGAAACAAAAGTTTCGGGGTTCCAAAAATGGACCAAACGTGAGCCAACTGAGAAATGCTTGTTCATGACACTGCCAATGCTGAGGTAAGAAAAGTGAGAGTGTGGCATTCTTAACTCCGGCTGCTACCACTGCCCACAACAGCTCAGGACGCCCCTCAGGGTGAAAGAAACTCAGTCATTTCAAATCTATGAGAAGCAATTAAGAGCGCCAAAAGTGACAGACATGTAATTAGATACAAAATGCCACATATAGTTCTCACTTTTCTTAATACTTTAAAAGATAAGACCGTATAAAGCAATAATTATAACACTGTATTTTGGGAGCTGACAAGATATCTAACAATGAAAGCACAATGAATGGGGAGAAAATGGTGATACGGAGCAAAGTTCCTGCATTTTACCAGAATTCAGTCAGTATTTATTTAAAGTGGATGGTGATAAATGAAGATACATATTGTTTCCTTAGAGGAACCGCTAAGAAAATAACTCAAAAAAATACAACTTTAAAAAAACCCCAGAAATTAAAACAGTACACTAAAAACACCTGTTTACCATAAAAGAGCTGAGTGACATCACAGAAGACAGAATAGGAAGCTCCAGGATTCTGGCACCAAACAACCACTCAGCTGACAGAAACTGTCTGAAGCAACTATTTTGGAACACTGGAGACTGGTCAAACACTTGAGGGTGCAGAAGAGTTGGATGAAGACACAGGTAAGTTTCGGTGAACTTTGCATTTAGCGTGGCTGCCATGATCCTCACACAGCCATGGCAAGTACCCAGGAGCAGGTTACCAAAGCAGCCAGCTGGTGCCAGTTGGACAATAAGGACCGCACTTGAAAAATCACAGCTGTGAGTTTTGACTGCTAATCACTGCTTTTGATAGCCAAAGGGTCAGACCAGGGGCTGGCCACTGGTTCAGCCTTGGTGGGTTCAAGCAGATTCCCAGCCAGAAGGATTTCAAGAGATAGTTCTTTCACTACTCTTCACCCTTTCTAGGAGACAGCTATTTAAGAAAATCTTCATCAGATCACTGCTAGACCACAGAGGCAAACTGAATTAAAATTTCAGTGGCCATATTCAACAAGAAATGCACACTTTGCAAAAATAGCTGGGAAAAATCCAGACAGATGGATCCAGTAGTCAACACACAAAAATCAGGAATCCCTGTGAAGCTGAAGAACTAGATTTCCAAATTTACCAAACATGATATTCAGAATTTCCAGGCCTCAGCAAAAAATTACAAATCAAACAAAGAAATAAACAAGTGTAGCCCATTCACAAGAAAAAAACAGTTTGACAAAAACCATTCCTGAGTACACCCAGACACTGGACTTAATAGTCATATGGACTGTCTTACATAGGTTCAGTGAGATAAAGGAAGATATGGGGGAAAAAACAAGGAAATCAGAAAACAGTGTCTAAACAAACTGAGAACACCATAACAAGATAGAAATCATAAAAAGGATTGCCAGAGCCCAGCAGGTCAAGGCTGCAGTGGCCGGGAGCGGCCACTGCACTCCAGTCTGGGAGACAAAGTAAGACTCCAACTAAAAAAAAAAAGAAAGAAATCATAAAAAGGAACCCAGCAGAAATTCCAGAGTTGACAAGTGAAATAACTGAAATAGAAACTTCACTAGAGGGGTTCAATAGCAGATTTAAGCAGATAGAAGAAAAGATAGGGGAGCTTGAATATAAAACAATTAAAACTTTCCAAATTGTGGAAAGGAGGAAAAAAGGAAGAAAAATGCATAGAGCCTAAGGGACCTGTGGAAAACCAGCAAACATACCAATAAACACATTATAGGAATCTCACAATAAAAAAGACAAAAGCCCAGGTGAAGTATTTGAATTCATAATGGTTGAAAATATGCATATGCAAGAAGCTTGATAAGCTCCAAGTCATATGAACTCAAAGAGATCCATGATAGTGAGATACATGATAGTCACTGTCAAACTCCAAACACAAGAAGATAAAATTGAAAGCAGAAAGACAGAAGCAATTCATCATATGCAAGGATCCTCAGTAAGTCTAACCATGGAGGCCAGAAGGCAGTGGGACATACTTAACACACAGAAAGAAAAAAAACTGTCAACCAAGAACTCTATATTCAGCAAAGCTATCCTTCAAGAATGAAGGAAAAATTAAGACATTCCCAGATCAACAAAAGCTTAGGGAGCTCATTTGCAGTTACACATGCCATGCAAGAAATGCTGCCAGGCATGATGTTCATGCCTGTAATCCCAGCACTTTGCAATGCAGAGGTGAGAGGACTGCCTGAGCCCATGGGTTCGAAACCAGCTTGGACAACTTGGCAAAAACTCGTCTCTACAATAAATAAAAAACTAAGCCAGGTATGATGGCGTGCACCTGTAGTTCCTGCTACTTGGAAGGCTAAGGCAGGAAGATCACCTGAGCCCAGCAGATTGAGGCTGCAGTGGCTGTGAACATGCCACTGCACTCCAGTCTAGGTAACAGAGTGAGACGCCAACTCCAAAAAAAAAAAAGAAATGCTACAGGGAGTCTATTAGTCTGAAATAAAAGAACACTAGACAGTAACATAGTCATGAGAAAAAAATAAAAAACACTAGTAAATGTAACTTCCTGAACAAAAGACAGCAGTGTACTTTGGTTTAGTTTATAATATTTCTCTTGTTCCTATATTATTTAAAAGGTAAGTGTATGAAACAATTATAAATCTGTTAACAAGTATATCACATATAAACACATAATCTATGATAATAACATAAAAAAGGAAGAATGGTGATGTACAGAAGCAGTATGTCTATATACCTCTAAAGTGAATCTGGTATTATTCCAACTAGTTTAAGGTGATAATTATAATCCTCAAGGTAACCACTAAGGAAAAAAACTTTAAAATATAATAAAAATGAAAGAAATGAATCAAAATGGCAAACAACTCAATTAAACCCCCCCCAAAAAATCACCATAACAGAGGAACTGAAGCATAAAGATCTATAACACATACAGAAAACAAGGAACTAAATGGCAGAAGTAAATCCTTATCATTAATCACATTAAGTATAACTGAATTAAATTCTCCTAATAAAAAAACAGAGGATTGGGTACAGTGGCTCCTACCTGGAATCCAAGCACTTTGGGAGACTGAGGCAGGTGGATTGCTTAAGCCAGGAGTTCAAGACCAGTCTCGGTGACATTGCAAGACATCATTTCTACAAAAAAATCAAAAAATTGGCTGGGCATAGTGGTGTGCACTCATAGTCCCAGCTACTAGGAAGGCTGAGGTGGAAGGATTACCTGAGCGCAAGAGGTCAGGGCTGCAGTGAGCCATGATTATGCCACTGAACTTCAGCCTGGGTGACAAAATGAGACACCCAACTCAAAAAAATAATAAATAATACATAGAGACTGGCAGAGTAGAGTTTAAAATATATATATATATGCTGTTCCCAGCAGCCTCACTTTAGATACAAAGGCACAAAGAAGTTGAGGGTAAAAGATGAAAAACAAATATATATATAGTCTATTTATTTTAAAAGGGTACACAAAATAAAGTCTGGGTGGCTATACTACTATCAGACAAAACAAACTTTAAATCAAAAAAGTTATAAGAGATGAAAATATTACATATTGATAAAGGTTCAATAAATCTAGAAAATGTATCAATTATAAAAGTATGTACACCTAGCAGAGCCCTAAAATTATGAAACAAAAGTTAGCAGAATTAAAGGGAGAAACAGATTGACGATAATAGTCAGAGACTAACACCGCACTTTCAATAATGGATAAAACAGGCAGACCAAAGATCAATAGGGAAACAGTGCACTTGAAAACTATACACTTATATATATATAAGACCTACAGAGAACACTCCACCCAACAACAAAATATACTTTCATTTCAGGTACACATGGAACATTCTCCAAGAGAGATCATATATTAGGCCACAACACAACTCTTAAATCTAAAATGATTGAAAGCATGCCAAGTATCCTTTCTAGTCACAATGGAATGACACTATAATTTAGTTACAAAAGGAAAACGGAAAAATTCATAGTTAAGTAAAAATTAATCAAACCACTTCTAAATAATT